TCCCTAGGCACTTCAGAACACTATAGAAGCTTTTCAGCAGAGGAATGAAACCTTCAGAAATGCTATTGCTAAAGAATATGAAGATATGCCCGCTGAAGTTTCTGTAAGTGTTATCCCACAATTGTAACCTTCTTAGTACCCATTTTGTTCTTTTATAACTGCAAATAGGATATTACAAAAGTTTGATGGAAACATGTTTCAAGGTCATCATTTTCATAGCAAAAGAACTGCAAAGTAGTCATCTTGTTAGTAACTATTTCTCTTCATAATGCCCAATCTTATAAACAAGCCTCCTTTTCCTGAAGTGCCTAATAGAGTACCCTTTCTGTGGTGCACAATGATTTTTGACTGGGTTCTTTGTTGTTGCTTGCACAGATCTCAAAAAGTATCTTGAGCTGCGTTTTGCCATTTCCTTTCCGGAGGAAAAGAATAATTATTTTTTCTCTATTAAAAGTACTGCACAAGTGGCTCTCTTTCTTGTCTTCCCCCTGCTCCCCCCAGAACGCGGAGCTTGGGAAGAGAGCGCCGCGGTGGATCCGCGACAACGAAGTGACCATGTGCATGAAATGCAAAGAACCCTTCAACGCGCTGACGAGGAGGAGGCACCACTGCCGAGCGTGCGGACACGTGAGTGTCTAACGGGAAACTGGGGTGCCGCTTGTGGCAGAGGAAGATGCAGGTTTGTGTAGAGAGTGCCAAACCCCTGAGCAGACTACACCGTTTCCAGAACTAGCATAAGCAGTGTTATCTCTGGCAGCACTGCCTGCTCCCTGCACCCTTTTGATCACTGCAAGCAGCCCATGAAGCCAAGGGGTTCATGCTTTTTGGTTGGAGCAACCTGCGTCTGCTCCCAGCTGGGCTCAGTGTGTAGCTGTGTCAACACATGGGAAGCATAAGGGAAAAAGCAGGCTGGGGTGGGGAAAGAGCACGATTGCTGCCTTCAGCATGTGAGGGCACAGTAATCTGTGAAGCTTTTAAGTGACCATGAAATAGTGATCTGACTTGAGAGTTTTGTTCAAAAGTTAATGGAAATAGAGCAAACATACTGTATTTCTTTTTTTTTTGACACCACACAGCTATGCCTTTCTCCAGTAGATGGTAGTAAAGCCTAATCTTAACTGCTGTCTCACTGGTTACCTGCTATGATCTCTCTATAAAAAAGTGTGATACATGACATGAAGGTTTATGTCCTTGCACAACTCTGCTTTTGTGCTTTGCAGAATGCTAGAGACTAGCAAAATTCCGCTTGTCTTTCATGTACATATTGGTAATTCAGTTTTCGTAGCTTTTTTTTCAGATTAGATTTTCTGTCTTGAAGCTGTATTGTCCTTAAGATCACACCTTTTATCCTTCTGTTGGTTTGGATTCCTAACTGCTTCCCTCTGTCAAGCACTATGACCTCTCTTTCCATTTTATTTTTAAAACATTGTTTTATGAGAATTAATTTGGGTCAGTTGTAGTGTCTTTCCACAAGTTAGTAATTGGAGATACTTAACTCGTATTCTCTAGAGATTAGAAGGTAGAGATCTAAATTAGTCCTACAAATCCCACAATAAGATTTTGTTTAGTATTCAAGTGGTTCCAGGCCACTGGTCAACTTTCTTGCTTGAAATAGCTGCACTTCTGTTTTTCATGCAGGGCATCTCTTTCAGTTTCTGTGAAAGTGTGTTCCTGTGGAAAAATAATTCCAATGGAAAGACTTTCTCGTAAATTCCAGCATTTCAGCTTTCCTTCATATTTTGTAGAAAAGAAAAATCAACATTGTGACACTTGCCTAGTTATTCTGTGTACTAATCAAGAGGTTCTGAACTGTCAATTTAGTTTTTATTGGGAAATTAGAAAGTTGCTATTTCTGATAGAATTAAAATTTTGTCTTTCAATTGTACATTTCTGCAATTATGTAGGAAGCAAAAGGTAAGTGTTCCTTTCAGGGCTGGCATTTAGAAAAACTGGAAGGCTTTCTTCTTGCCTCATGTTTCTATTCTATTTCTAACTTTAATCTACAGATGTAATTGAAAGCCTAATGTGATTTGTGTAAGATCCAAAATTTCCACCAGTTTAGATAGTACAAAAACACTTCTAGCTTACAGACAGCAGCACAAATTTGAGAAAATCATGATTTTCCTTTAAGTCATTATGGACATAGTAGCATCATAAAGCGTTTATCTTTCTTGGTCTGTATTATTAAATAGTATATTATTAATAAATATATAGTTTTTTTATATCTTATAAATTTGCTTTTTTTCTTCTAAGGTGGTTTGCTGGAAATGTTCCGATTATAAGGCTCATCTTGAATATGATGGTAATAAGTTGAACAAAGTTTGTAAGGATTGCTATCACGTTATAATAGGTTGTACAGACAGTGAAGAAAAGAAGAAAAAGGGTATCTTGGAGGTATGTCATTTTAAAAATAAATAATGTACATTGTTGCAAATAGTCCTGGCTCATCAGTAGATGAAAAAAATGGTAGGAGTTTTGTGGGGGTCTTTTGTTTGTTTTTTGTTTTGTTTTAGAAACAAACAGGAACGATAAACAGACCAAGGTCATCCCATCTAATGAGTTCTGTTTTTCACCGTCCATCTGTCATAAAACTACTTTATTTCTTAAAACTTTTTAAAAGTAGGAATTATGAGCCTTACAGCTTGTTTGTCTTTTTCCAATTAAATTAGCTAAGGTGATATTACTTTTCCTTAGAAATCCTTTCTTTTTTTCCTTCTATGCTTAAGTCACCATAGCAAACAAAAACCCTGCTAATACGAGTTGTTCTTGAAAACATCTAGTAAACTGAAAGAACTGGGGTATGCAGAGAGGTTATTGGCAGGGAATTTCCCTAGAGAGTCTGAGCAGGATACTGTTTTAACCCTTGTATATGACTTTAAGTCACTGAACTTGCTCTTAGCTTTTAACACCTAAAAACTTGTGACACCAATATGAACTTAGATACCCATTTTTGTTATGATTGGGTTGGGGAAACAGACGTCTTGAAATAGTAATCAACATTGACTTCTGTTAAATCTCCCCTTTTGGCCACTTTTAAATATTTAGAGGAGAGAAATCTTACCCTAAGTCTGTGAACAGATATACACGTTTATCTTGGGGTGTGGTAAAGAGGGACTAATCCTTGAGGAGAATACTGGTAGAAAAAGACAGGGGAGAAAAAAAAGACACAGATTGTAATTCCATATACAATTCATAATCCATACTGGCCTGACTCCAACAATATTATAAGTGCGTAAGTTTAAAAAATGATACCAAGAATCCCCATATGAAACACTTGCTTCTCTGAAACAGGAGCTTTCCTTCGTGGTTTTGACAGAGAGGTAGTATGATAGATGAGAAAGAGTAAAGAGCACAGGATTTAACCAGCTTGTCTTAGAGCCAAGATGCTCTTTCTCGGCGTGGTGACTTTGATAAGGTATCTGGAGGAGCAGCAGAGCCTCTTAGAAACATCCATCTACATGACAGACCTCATGGCACAGAGTGCTGGGTGCCCTGGGGCAGCGTCCAGCCAGCACCGCTGCTGAGGGAATGAAGCATGGCAAGGGGACGTGAACGCAGAGTCGTCCCCTGCTCGTTCCGTGCTGCTCAGGATCACTGGCATGTCGTGCTGCCTTCTGACTTTAAGTAATTCACCTAATCTTTTCTCCCGATTTAGCTTACATTATCCATAGAAATGTATTTGCGTTTCATTCTGTCATCATATTTTGATGGGTGAAATAGAGTGATTGTCACGTTGGATAGTTAGTAGCATTCGAATGCCTAACATCAGGTTACATTAGAAATACAACGTTGTTATAATTTGCTAAGCTGTGGCAAATGGCTGGCCAACTGTGGTCACAGAATGACATCTAGAGTGATCTAGAAGGATATAGTCCACAAATTCCAGTGTAAAAAGGAGCAGATTGCACATGTGTTAAGGCTGTATGTATGTAATACATAAATATTCTCCATAAATCCTGTCCTTCATCATGTTAGTTGGGTATTTGCCCAAGCTCTTACATAGATACTAGCCAAGATTTGGTAGATGGTGTTGTATTTCAGCTTTGCTGTTTTGTGAACTGTTAGTCTTTCTTTAAGGAAAGTGTGTGTGTTTGTTTGTTTACTTATTATGCTTCATATATGTTTTGTGTATGCTCCTAGATTGAATCTGCTGAAGTCTCCGGAAATAGTGTCATATGTAGCTTTCTTCAATATATGGAAAAATCAAAGCCCTGGCAGAAAGCATGGTGTGTTATACCTAAACAGGAAGCTCTTGTGCTGTACATGTATGGTGCTCCACAGGTATGTGAAGAGGGAAATGAAAAGATTTTAATAGTTGCTTGTCATGGACACCAGAGGAAGAGAAGTCAAATAGATTTGGGAATGGAGGAAAAAAATAAAATATTCTTTTTTATAAATCTATACAGTAAAGCAAAAGTAGTAGGCAAATTAGTGGATTATTCTTCTTAATTGTGAACTATTCCTTCCTTTTAGGATGTTAGAGCTCTGGCTACAATTCCACTTCTGGGCTATACCGTAGATGACACTCCAAGAAGTGCTGATCTCCCACACAGCTTCAAACTGACCCAGTCCAAATCTGTACATAGCTTTGCTGCGGACAATGAGGAACTCAAACAGAAATGGTTAAAAGTTATCCATTTAGCTGTCAAAGGTGAGACACCAGAATGTCAAAATGAACTGCAGGTGAATTTAGAAGATGAGCCTGAATCTTCTAAAAAAACTGAATGCTGAAGCTCAAGAGCACATAGTGTTTTCAAAGATTTCAACTGAATTTGTGGTTAACCTTCTTTGTGTTAACCTTCCTTTGCTCAATCAAATAAAAAAAAAAGAAAAAAGAAAGAAACTTCTAACTACTATACACATCTTAGCACTTTATGTTTGGGAAAAATTCTGGTCTTTTTTGGGATCTTTTTCTTATATTTATGTTCTGTCAGTAAAGATGATGTACAGGTGCATTTCAGAGACTTTTTAAAAAATGTGAATGCTATTAAAAATACCTTCTAACTTTAGTGTACTACTTGTTTGTCATGTTGCAGTTGTTTTTGAAAATTCTGATTGCAATTTGATCGAAGTTGCTACTTTCATGAAGTATGCAAATATTGACGCTTCCTAATTACATGTTAGGATTTGCAACAGGATGAAAGATATACCTCCACATTGCCAAAATAGATCTGTAGTCAAATATGCAGGGACAGTTTGGTTTAATGTATGTAGTTTATAAATCTAATTCTGCAGAGCTGTACATATGTTGTAGCCATTTGTTTCTTTTCTTAATTAAAGTATTGCAGATTGTTTTTACAAATATATTGGCTTTTAAAGTTTCAACTGATCAAGAACACAATCTAATGATTTTCAGTCTAGACTATCTAAAATATGAGAAAATATATATGTACAGTATTAGAAATGTACAATACTTGATTTTTGCTTTGATTTCATGATACTGGATTCCTATTAGTAAATAATTTATTTAAAAAGCATGTTTTCCATTTGAAATTAAACAGAGTCCTAAATTAACATATACTGTTCAGTGATTTGTTTTAATAGCTAACGATCTTACTATTTTTATGCTTTAAAAAAATAGCAGTAGTTTAAGTGGCGTGCAATGGGCAAGGAAGTTCCCATTGTGTTCAAAAATGTAGTCGCTTTTCTTCAGTGTCCCATCACTGTTATCTTTTAAGAGTACAATAGTCCATTACTAAAAAGTAGTATGTGGTTTGGGGCAGTAAACAGATTTTAGTTATCTTCTGGGTTCCTGAATTTTTGCTATTACGGTTATTGAAACATTCTGAGCTTTCAAAAATGATTTAACTTTTACAGAAGGCTAGATATTGCAATACTTACGACAATAATTTTCAAGGACTCTAGGATGAAATCTGAGCCTGCAAATCTCAAGTTGCCTTAGTAGACCTTGCTTGCATTCCACTTCTGGAAATAAAGACTTGCAGGCTTTGTGGCATTAAGTCAACTGGGAACTTCCATTCCTATTAGGCTTTTTGTATGTAGAGACAAATGACTTCCCCAGTTGAGAATTTTCTCTGTAACATCCTTGGATGAAATACAGTAAATAGAGAGGTAGTGACTGACTATCAGATAGATGGTTGAAATTGTTTCCATCTTTTCTGACTCCTCAAAGGAAGGAAAATATTTAACTTCTACTATCAACTTTCATGAGAATACTCAGCAATCTTACTTCTGGAATATAACTGCTGAATTTAGAACATCTCAAGCTAAAGAGCTCAGGTAAAATCTGGTTTTGTAAGTAACACTAGGGCAGACTTAGACTGGATTCTTTTTTTAAGACTTTTCAAAGCAAAGTATTCACTAAACTCTCCCTTTATTCTTTTTATTCAAGTTTTTCCTACTTTTTTTTTTCTTTTTTTTTTTTTTGGGAACCACCTCCATTTTTAGTGCTGTGCACACCTGAGTGCAAAGTCTACTATTCCCTCCTACAAATTCTGTGTAACTTAATGTTAGTAGGCTGGATTTTGCTCTCACTCACGCAAATACAAACTCTACCATGGACTTTAGACTTCAAAGCTTTACACTATGATTGGTAGTATGAGGACATGGCTTCGTACAGTAGGAACTCCACAGCTGACATTGTACGTGTCCGTTCTCAATTCTTCCCTGGGTGCTCTGTGTGTCTACCTTATTCTGCATGTAACCCTGCTTGACATCACTTCAATGCTATCTGATGTGCAAACTCTTCTGTAATTCTCTCAGTTACTTCTACAGCAAGCTATATTTACCTTTAGTTATAGGCACCTCAAGCCCTTTTTGATTCATGCTGGTAGGTACAAAGAAATCTTCATCTGGATCTCCCTAGCTGTTCACGACGTGTCATGTGTGCATCTTGGTTAGGAATGAGGGAACATTCAGGAAACAAGAACATGATGTCTGCAGCTGTGTTTTCTTTCCATGGCCATCTCCTGAAAGTGGTTATCTTTTAAAAGAGCCTCAGATATGCTTGTGGGCTCTGCAGGGCCTTCTTAATAAATGCATCCTAATGTTTTCCCACATTCCCTTTGCTTCCCACGTTCAACTTACTCAACGTGAAGGGATAAGTTGCCTTAAGACCCTAAATAAGACTGACTGACCTGTATTCAAAAAAATCTGATGGTATGATTGCATTCACACTGTGTTTTCTAAGCTCCTGCCAACTTCCTTCTCGGCCAAGTAGGAAGACCTCTTCCACTAAATGATTGGGGAAAACTAAGCAGCAGCAACTTTTGGGCTGCATCGTTGCTCTAGTGGTGTTGAGCAGAACCTGAGGCTGCTCCATTGGCTTCAGCATCTCTCAAGTGAAGCTATGGGCATAGGTGGAGGTGGGGATAAAGGGTTTGGGTTAAAGCTAGCATTTGGAGTTACTTTATGGACATTTGCTCATGTTTGCTTTGAGCCATTAAATCTTATATAGTGGGATATTATATTTAACCTAGTGAGACTTATTTTATATTCTCATAATTAATTGTGTGCTCAGAATTTTCTTCTCTGAGTCAGAATGTAACAATACTCAAATGTATGGTTTCTGCATGTGTTTTGTAGGAAAAGTGTCTACCACCAATTTTAAAAGAAATGCAGAAGATAGAAAGGTTGCTTCTAATTTAACTACCACTCTAAATGTTTTATTCCATCTGCACAGACACACATACAGCAGCCAAATCTTTTTTTTTTTTTTTCATTTTACGTTTTAAATTATGACTGCAAAGGGACAAGTTCAAATTAAAAACTACCATGGCTATCATTATTAAAGCACTCAAGTGGTGGATTAAAATCTTAATTCTAACATGGTATATGTTGCTCCCATTTCAGCTGTTAAACTAAAAAAAGCATTAATTTTGCTAGCATAAAGCTGGACATGTAGGGAATAAACTATAACTGAGCATTCATAATATATGAGCATAGATGAATGGCTCTGCTACATTACTTAAGCTTTGTGATGCCTGGGTTCAAGAAATATTTCTCACTTTAAAAAAACACAATCACTCTCTTTTGTGTGATTTAAAGCTGGTCAAACTTAATTTTTATGCATTTTTTTTGTCCATGTCAAAACTGGAAGGCTGGACGATGGCTTAATTTTATCATGACATTTTTTGAAGCATATTATTCCCTGATAGTGGAAAGATAGTGCATCATGGCATCAGCATGTCTGCTTATTCCAAATCAGCAGATACTCTTCCAAATCTGCTAAACATTGTTTTCTCATACAAGGTACTCCTATTTGGCTGAGGAACTGCTGTTTAATCTCTAGCATCTAGTAGTTTCAAATCCCTTTGACTTTGAGTAGTTCTCTTTACTCCAAAAGATATTTCATTTTTGGTCTACAAAATAATTACTGAGAACAGAAAATATTCTCTTCTATTTGGAGTAGATTATTAAGCTACTTTAAAAGCATATGAAATATAATGGCACCATTTTATACAAAAACATCTCAAAGTGCTTTTTGTATCTCTTCAGAGATTATATAAATCCATTTTGTAGGACTCTTTTTTTGTATTTTTTAAAAATGCATGAAGCTGATGCACTGATTAAATGTAGGATGAAACACCACGACACGTACAAGCTTTAGAAGTTAAAAAATAAATATGCTCTAAGGAATTTTTTGGGGGCGGCATGAGTATGTGTATGGTGTGTGTGTGTGTGTATGTGTGTGTATATATGTGTATACATATGCATGTGTGTATATATGCATATGCATGTGTATATATATATGTATATGCATATGTATATATCAATGGGAAAGATGCAGAAACACTTGACAGGTTCTTGTGGTGGTGGTGTTAATTTTTTTCTCTAGTTGCTAACATATAGCTGGTATGAAAATTGTCAGCTTTTCACTTCAGGATTGGGATAAAGGAAATGAACACAAAGAATTTCAGAAGTAATCGCCCCTATTTTTAAAAAACTTTGAGACTTCAGTTTTAGGAGTTTCTGGTAGTAAAGGAAAGACTTTAAGACAAAAAAAATAAGTATGAGTAATTCTTAGCAATAAAAAAGGAACTTTTGTCTTCAAAAATATTTGGAGGTCTTGGGTGGGTGTAAACTGGCATAGCCCCATTAGAGCTGCTCTAGCTGCAATGCTTTGTATTCAGGTAGGATCTGCTTTATATTGTGTAAAGGCATTTGCAGAAAATCAAGATCTCTCCAAATGAAGACCAGCTCACTTACCGTGTCTTACCTGGAATGGCAGCGCTCAGCTGAACTTTGGACCAGTTTCAGTCGGACATAATTGATAAAGGTGTGAGCGTGAACAGCTGGAAATACAGCATCTCAAAACAAATGAGTGGAGAAGTGATTTGTTGACTGTCCTTTGATAGTGTGCTGTTGCATTTGAAAGCTAAAAAGATATACATGGAGTGTATGGAGTCTTTCCTCCAGCCTGTGCCCTATTGGTACGAGGAATTTACCTAGATGATTCTGACCCATAGGACTGTAGGGAAGCATATCCTTTGGATAGGACTTTTAAGCTGCCTGGCAAATTGTTTCCCAATTCTTTTCCCCTGTAGTAGAACATAATGGTAACTTAATGCATGATATATGTTTTTGAGACTAGAGATTATTATAATATACAGATGACCTGTTTTAGCCAGAATGGCAGTATTTCACAATCAAAAATACACTGTGATACATTTAAAATGTAATCTATATTGACAATGTTGAGTATACTTTTCAGGAGTAAAAAAAAAATCCACAGAAGTAGACCTACTTTTGTAGCATGATTACGATTCCCAACTAATTTAAAAGATAAGCTAAAATTCAGTACGTGATTCCGTCTGCTTTCTGTAAAACCTCTTGATGAAATTTATCCCCCAACTTACCCACAGCATTTCACTTTCATCCCTCGCTCTTCCTTGCACAAGTGAATGTAGACTGGGGTTTTGCTCTACTAAAGTCTCCAAGCAGATTTCTATGAATAAAACATGTTTTCCTCCAGTGTGTAACACCAACCTACTTCAGT